AATCACCTTTTGTGTCTTGCCCTCCTTGTGCAAGGTGTCAATGATTGTCTTTTGGACAGCTGTTAAGTCAGAAGTCTTCCCCATGATTGTGGTGCCTTCAAAACAAGACTGAGGGACCTTTTAAAGGCCTTTGCAGGTGTTTTGAGTAAATCAGCTGATTAGAGTGGCAGCAGGTGTCTTCTATATTCAGCCTTTTCAGAATATTCTAATTTTTTGAGATACCAAATTTGGAGTTTTCATTAGTTGTCACTTAGGAATATCAAATTTAAATGTAATGAACATTGGAAATACATTGGTCTGTGTGCATTGCATGAATATAATGTACATGTTTCACGTTTTGAATGGAATTACTGAAATATTTTCAACCTTTTGATGATATTCTAATTTACTGGCCAGCACCTGTATATATATATATTTTTTTTTTTTTAAACATTAGATCGGAACTTTTTATTGCAGGGATTAGGTAACACTTCGTATTAACCCAGAGTCAAAAGAGAGAGAGACAAGCTTTAAAGAAGATTTATTTCTAAACAATTTAAAACAAGGTCAACTGACTCTAACACTCTGTGTGATGAATGGATCTAGGTGTGAATGAGGCAAGATGGATGGCGTAATGTGGAATGTTGTTATCAGAACTCTTGTTTTCGGACAAGCATTAGTTCTCTGTGGAAGCGAATGTTTTGCTCTAAACTACAGTCGGAGTTTCAAAACCACATTCAGACGCTATCTTGCTGCTCTACATACCCTTGACGGAGACCTCCGTTGTAGATCCAGAATGCCAGGTCCTCTGACCCCCCTTTGGTACCGGAGCCGATGAAACAGCGTACGGTACAACAGACTAGTCTTGGAATGCCTCCAGGTCAGCGACAGGTGTTGGACAACGTCGGCGGGACCCTGAAGGGTCAGTGAGTTCAGCTCTTACTCTGAAGGAGCGTTGCATTCAGGCGTAGCTTGCAACAGGTTTTATTATCCAGCTTGTCAGGTTCTTTGTGTTTAAAAGATTACGAGCGGCCGGCTCGAAATTTGAACTGATTTAAGGGTGACGTGGGAGTTAGTTTTATAATCCAGATGTTTTGATTTATGGTCGAATCAGGATTTGACAACAAATGGGGATGGTATAAACACCACGCAAAGCCACGCCACACATCAGAACGAAAGCTCTGATTGGATGAGAAACAGGAAATGTGTCATGTGACTTTAGCATTATGTGTGATCAGTCTAGTGTCTAGTTTAAAGTTATATTACTTATTACTGTCATAGGATTATAATATCAAGTAATTAATATTCTTATTTCACAGACTGATTGAACATTGAGCTTCACATGATTATTTGGACTAACGAAGTTATTTGATTATCATTTAAATAGAGTTCTTCTAATTTCTAAAAGAGTTCTTCTTGGTCTTCTCTTGAGCTGTAGGGGGAGGCAAATAGCTAGTTAAAACAGTTTAGATGCAGAGGCATCAAAGGCCTTGAGCCATATCTCAAGGAGATTAGTTCTTCATGAGGAGAGAGGGGAAATGACCTTTAGGTGGAAAACAGTCCCTTCACAACCCTACAGGCGTGCTGACAGAACAAGAATATTTGGATCATATTTAAGAATATTTACCTTATTTTAAGTAATGGTATATTTCTAAAGAAGATTTTTTAGGGTAAAAATAAGATAAAATGTCTAAAAATTAAATTATTTACTTTCTTAGAAATCACTTTTTGCAGTGTAGAACCTGAAGTTATCCAAAATGCTTTGGCCAAATTTAGAATAAACATTGGATTTTTTAAACAAGAAACACTAAAGCTGCGACAGAAATGCAATAAATAAACATTAACTCCACCTCACAGCCAGCATGAATTTGGCTGAGATGTTTTTATGTTTGGGATTAATGAGTACACCAAACGCTGCTCACAACCCTCCTGATTAATATTATTCTCAGTCTCAAATAAAAACCTTTTGCAGTACACAGAAGTGTGTTTTATGTCATAATGAACTGAGCTAACTGGGAATGTTTGGCACACCAGGATTACAGTAGATATTAACCAACAGTCTTTTTCTGCTCTTCAGTAAATTTTCCAATAATGACTTCATGCCCTCTTATCGAAACATGCTAATTGCTGCTCATGACCTTATTCGGGGTAAAATGCACCAACAGCATTATAATTCTAGTAATTAGCTTGCAAGTTAATTAAAAAAGGCAGATTATTCTTGTTAAATTACTATTAATAAGTCAGCTATTCTTTCTGAATAGTGGAAAAAACAGATGATGCTGGCAGATGTGAACGTGCAGCCGTTTGATTCTATTATTTACAGTCATCTTAAAAAATTAATGCATGCATGTGATGCATATAATGACGTTTAATTAGAAATTAAAGTTCATCTGTAAAGTATAAAAGTCTTAATCTGTATTGTTGAAAACAAATCAAAAACAAGCATATTAAGATTCACTATTTTCTTCTTTCTCATTTTCATTTTCACTCCTTTTGCTTTTGCATGTTTTATTTAATAATAGACACGTTTAAAGTAGCTTTCCGGAGTTTTCCTCTTTCAGAAATTATGTATGATTCATCAGAAATCCGTAAAAGTAATTATCTTATCATGTACTGTGTTTTGCTAAACACACCCCCTGCCCCGCAGAGCTCCGTGCAATAGGAAACTGAGCGTCGACCAGGACTAACCAATAACATTAGACTGCCGCTTAGATGCTTCAAATTTAAGGAATACCTCGGTTGATGCAGAGTTGATGAACTTTTCACGGACAAGAAAGTCTCTAAAATATAAATATATGAAAACACAGCATGACATGAGATTAATACTTGTAAAACAACGTGTTCTAGCTCTGTCGGCTACAGAAGCACATTTATAAACAAGAAACGTGAAGTCGCCATCTTAAAAAAACAGAGAAACAGCGTTTTTGTGTGATACACTTGTCAGCCACTAGATGGTGCCATCAGATAAGAGAAATACTCCAGAAAGAAGCTAACTAATCTTGCTAATCATTTAGATGTTTTTATTGGGGATGTTCAACATCGGCATTTTTTTCTTATCAATATCCAACACACCAATATAGTCTAACTAGGGGATCTTTATGGCAGAAATAAAACATCTGTATGTAGTTCTTTGCATAAAATCCTTCTCACATGAAGCGATTTTACTAGTTTTATTCTTGACATTGTCAGTATATTTCAGAATGAGCTGTTTCAGTGCTCTGTCACTTTAAGAAGCTGTTGCTGGGCAGGCCCACCCATCCATTAAGGCTACTATAAGCTGAGAAGCTCCGAAATCCCTGCAGGGCTCTGAGTAGAGCTGCTGCTCCTCTGGCATCAAGAGGTGAGAGGTGGTTCTATGCTATTTTTTTTCCATTTGTGACATCACAAACAGGGATATTTTGAAACAACTTGTTGTACGCTTATAATTCCTAAAACCAAACATTGACGGAAAATAGACGGATGGGTTATTTTTACATCTGGGGTGTTTGTAGAGGTAGTAGAGGCCCACATGGCAGCACAAAAGGATGCAAAGGTGAGTTTTGTATATGTCCCCTGAAGTTCCATTTCTGATATAAAAGGACACCAACAAATGCAGCAGCTGACTCCCATTTTCCCCAAGATAATCCTGGCAAACGTCCACTACACAAGGCGGCAAGTTTCTTCTTCCTCACAACTTGTGCCAAAATAAACAAAAGTATCTCCAAAACTGCACATCAGATCCATCTAATATGTGCAGGGTACGTAAATATTGTCATTACAAGTAAAAATTGATAAGTCCCGATTTTACATTTTAATGCAAATATCCAGTAGCGTGTCCAGGCTTTTTAAAATGGGGTGGCCCTTCTTTATGCATAGGTGGCACCTGTAGTTACATTTTTTTAGCGGGGGTCGCCCCACAAAAATAATTCTTTACATTCTAGTTCATTTCTAACTTCAAGTCTGGAAAACCAATGTTAAAGGTGCATGCTGCCCCCTACTGTACGGTTTATAACTCTATGTCTTTAGTGGAGAGTGTAAAGTCAATTCAAATGGAACACAGGAAGTAATCGGCGCGCGGAAATTCGGCAGCAAAAATATGTGGTCAAACCATCAAAATTATAGCAACAGCGCTAATGTTGACTATATGTTGTATTAAAAGCTGTATTACTGATAAGCTTAATAATTTATGCAGTAATTAATCTTCTTACTACACAAATAATACCACATCTAAATGAAAATGCAACATCACAAATGTAACTTCTCTGTATTTAAGACTTTAAAAGTTTGTGAGCATTAACTGTAACACTACAACCAAACCTTTTTACGTAAAACCACAACATATTTCTTATTACCTACTGTATGTGACCTTTTACAGCTAAAATGTTGAGATTTAGCTGTTATCAGGAAATAAAATTGCAACCTAAACATGAATTCCAAACATCAATCTTTGCAAATGTTTCTCCTCTTACATGCCATGCTTACTCCCCCTGGATCATCTGCCTGTGGAACCAGCGCATCTTTCTGTCCCTCACTACTGCTGGCATGTTGCTGTGTAGATATCTGCCTGAGCTGCTGCTGCTGGCTGTGCTGCTAAATATGTCGGTTAATTTGTGACATTTAGAGGCTTCAGCATCTAATGCCCGCAATTTTTTTTCTCTTGCCTTCTCAGCCCCGCCCTTTTCTTTCCTTTTTTTTTTTTTTTTGTTTACTAGCGACGGGGTTTGCATCGTTTTGTTTCTACTGCCTTTGCCTCCTCTCCGCTTCAGCTTCTTGCTCTCCTTGCCTGGCGGCCACAGCTAATGTAGCTGGCATCCAACTTAGAGGTGCAGTGCTGCCACCTAGAGTGCTGGAGCGTGAAAGAGCTTTGAGGGGGGAAAATACAGGCGTTGAAAGCGTGCGTGGAGTGGTGGGCCGGCCCACCGGCTGTCCTGGAGTACCGACCGTTCTGTGACTCTCCAGAATCCACAGATGGCCAGTCCGCCCCTGCTCCAAGGGTGGCATGTGCACTGCCTGGACACGCCCCTGCCAATAATATTGGACACTTCTAGTTTTGAACCTTTATTTTTTTCATTTGGAACTTACATACAATAGTAAATGGATTGGAATGATGGAGTTGTGCAAGAAATGTCTGCGAGGATGCAGGAAGAAATAAAGGATGGGTTATAGATTAAAGGGGAACAAGAGGCGAGCAGATGTTGCCGACATCGTCCATCTGATATACCACACATGTAGTGTAAACAGTAAGTCTCTGTGTGCATACCCTCCGCTTTAATACTGCTGTAATTATACTCTCAACAACCAAACGTTGTTTACCCTTTTATAATGAACAAAAATGAAACAATTGTTTAAAAATAATCATAAAATTACAGGGATCAGACAGTTTCATGCTGTGGATACTTTATATTTTATCTCCAAATATACATTTAAACAAGCCACTTGGACATAAAACAAGCTATGGCACACTTTAAAGGACATTTTAAACACTCTATAGGCAATTTTGCCCCTTTGTAAATGTTTAAATAAAATATTTAGCAAAAAAAATATTTTCTATTTCATGCATTTCTTGGCAGAGTGTCTTACATACTGCTATTTGAGTCAATAACTTCATTGGCAGCTACTTTACAAATACGTGTGATTTGTCAAGCAGGAAAGGTATGGATGATAGGGTAAACCCTCATGAACACAGCTGTTTAGACTCAGACACATAGTAAATAATGAAGGGTTATCTGTGTTTTTTCATGTTGGCAATAAATAAAGTTGATCTGTGGCATTTATAGATACAACAAAAATGATATTAAAGCTCACAAATATACTTTAGAAGAAAAAGACTCTAAACAGGAGATGGTTTTGATTTTAGTCGTAGACCAGTAGTTTGATTTCACGTTGATGCAGCTGAACATTTTACATATTTTTTACCTAATGAGTCGGAAGTGAATGCTTCCTAAAAATGCACCAAGTAATCAGATTCCTGCTAAAAAAAATACCTGAATGCTTTTTATAAACATGAACCCAATCAAACTTGCATTGGTCCCAAAACAGTGATAAATTAGGCGGTTTGCTACAGATTAGTCAGTCACCACTTTCAAGGCTTCTCATATGAATGGATAATAAATAGTTATTAATTAATATTTAACACTGCATAAACCATTACTAAGAGTTTATCATTTATTTAAATATGCGGTTCACTTGTTTAATCATTACTTTTGCATTGGTCTCTAGTAGGAATGACTGCCCTGTACGTTGTTCTTGGGGGGAGGTGGGGAGGGGGGGGGATATACTGGTGCACCATTTCCAGGAACTAGAAGTGAGCCACATCACAGCTGAGCTTCAGACAGCAGGATTTAGACTTTTATTTCCTGATATTTGGACATCTCGCCCCGGATTGGATCACTGACTTGCAACGCTGATGTTGTCGTGTTGTGGAGTTGCTTATGCTAACGGTTAGCTTCTGCTAGCTGAGGCGTTCTCTGCCGTTTCCTGGATGCTAAACCAACAACAGCCTTCCCTGTTGAGCAAAGATGGGAGAGTCCACGAATGATAAGGGACAGTGTGACGTAGATCTGTCAGGATTTTCTGTTCCTAAAGTTTCATCGTCTCTTTTCTATCAGAAGCTAGTGCAGGAGACAGGTGTAGGAGACCAGTTTCATGTTCAGCCGGCATGAAAAACTGAGAGTTGTAATCAGAAATAATCATTAAAGCCATTTATGAGGGGAGTCGTAAAGTGGTACCGGGTAACTAATTATAAATACAATATATAAATACCGTGTTCAGTATAGTGGATTGGTGCTTAGACGACCTGAAGGTCAGTTTTGTTGTTGTGTTCATAAAGTCTGACATCAAGAGAAAAGAAAGCTAAACCTTAGTAGGTCAGTTGTTGCAACCTGGTCTTTTGGGGAGTTCTGATTCCAGGAATGTTTAGTGGAAGGAACTGTCTTCCCTCGCAGAGACCGTTCTTGCTTCCTCGTTTTTCAGAGCAGGAAAACCAACTCCAGCTCAGAAAAGGTCACACTCAACTTCTATTCAGCCACTCTACCAAACAGGATATATTTTAGAAGCAGAATAATTTCCCATTGTAGCATCATCTGGACTCAAAGTGCCAAATCATTCTTTAACAACATTTAAACAGGTTAACGTTTAAAATGATTGTTTTCCCACTGATCACAGCTTGTCCACCAGCTCAGACAGGCAGGTGAAATCTTCTAATTAGCTGCAACAAAAGCCAGAAAAGGTGTGTGGCTGAAGCTGACCGAAGGGTGGGAGGACCGTGCCGAGGCTATAGCTGCCTGATGGGGGGGAGGTTCAGGGTCTCCAGAGCGCTGTGGTAGAGTTCCCTCAGTGCTCGCAGGAGGTGGAGACGACAAAACATCTGGTTAAAGAGGTGAGGCAGCGGCTCCTGGAAGGAGGAACACGTTAGAGACGCGTACGAGAGCTACAAGACGCGTAACGTCAGAGCGTGTTCTCACCCCGAGCACGTGGACTCTGTTGTAGTACGAGCTGAAGTCTTTACTAAGAGACACAAGAAACTTACAGATCTAAGGAACACAAAGGCTGAAGTTACATAAAGTTTCTGCGTCTTTTTTTTTTATTTTTTGCCACAAAAAAATCCTTTTAATATCAACAATTCATCTATTTATTAATACCTGCTCAGTCCTAATGTTCACTCTGGCTCCGCCCCCTTCACAATCCAGTGCCTGTCCTGATTGGTCCAACAGCTCGGAGAAGGGAATGAGGTAGTTGAACAGGAGAAGCCATTCACCCTGAAAGTAAAAGATTCAGTTATCGCCTGGATGCTAAAATCTTAACGATCCATCAGCTGAGAAACATAAACACAAATCTGAATAAATGAGTCTCTCTTATTAAATGTCACCTCTTCTTTAAGAGCAGAGAAGTCCAGCTGGGAACCTTCAGGGATTTCTGGGTAAAGACCTGAAGATGAAATGGTAGAAAAACTAATTTTATTAAACGTTTAGGCTAATCTACATCAGTGTTGTTCAAAACATTATAAAGAATTTACTAAAGTATTTACTTTCTGGTTTATTTATTTTTACACATTTATTATAGCTGCTATTATTAGTATATAATTATTATAATACGCTCCTTCAGTCTCACTATTTATTTTCATTTCTAAACCAGTGCAAACATGTTATGTAATGTTGATGATGCTGCTTCAGATTTAGACTTTTACCTGCGTCTCAGAGCTTTTTCTTCTGTTTTGTTTTTATTTATTTTTATACATTTTCTTCAGCCCTCACCTGCATTGGCAACAGAAAGTAACCAGAGGTAATTTAGCGAGTCACAAAGAGCCAGGGGCCTCATTTATCAACCGTACTTACGCACAGATCTGTGCGTATTTCGTGCGTCGGCACAAATGTACGCATTGTGTGGTATTTACCAGTTTGTGCGTGAAAATGTTCCTACATATAAGAACAGCTCTGACCATTCATAGAAACTGCATCTAGTGGTAGAACGGGCGAACAGCAGAACTGAAGGTCTCAGTCATCCGTGCGTGTTCCTCATCCACTAATTTTATTTACCCAGTCTGTAGTTATGTCGGTGGAAACACGGCTTCTTGCATTACCGGTGCTAAAACCAATAAAAGACACTTGCGACCAACAGGAGTCTGAAATGATATCGTGACTATTTTGTGTCATTTGAGGATTTAACAGAGCGTGCACACTGGAGGGAACGCGCTCTCTGGGAGGAAGAAATCCTTCTGCTATGCTGTGGTGTGGGAGCCTTTGTGGCGCGACAGACAAACCTCACAAATCTGACTTCAGTTCATATTTTATTTTACAACTACGAGAACCCCCAGAACCGCCACTTGCTCGCCGGTCGTACGCGCAGCCAGACTGAATGACAGCTCAGAAGAGGCTGAGGCTGCGCTCTCAGACAACATTTCCAAATGAAACTAACTCCAAATGGAACAACTCCTTAAATGTAAATGAGAACCCGCTACTCTAACCGGGGTAACTGCAGGTTTAAGGGAGCCAAATTTAAGACTTTTTAAGACCACTTTGACCAAATTTAAGTAAATTTTTTAATTAAATTTCTGCTATAATTTCCAGCTATTGCCTGGAACCGGTGCTAACCACGTCGCGAACGTAGGATTAGCCATCCAGTTACCATTAAACTTGCACTTCCCCATGGCGCAAGCTCCCACTAGCTTAACCAGCTAATGTGCTCATCCAAAAATAGCCCCCTTTCACAACCAACTGAATGTGTACGGTTCTGCTTACGCCAACATCGTACACAATCAATGCTCATCACTAACAAGAAATTCACAAAAATTTTATAGAAATAAAATAATCTAGTTTATTGGGTCTTTGGTAATTTAAGACCTTTGGAAACTGTATTTAAGTATAATTTGTCATTTTTAAGGATTTTCAAGGCCTTGAATTTGGAAAAGTATATTTAAGACTTTATAAGACTTTTCAAGGACCCGCGGACGTCTACCATTTATCAAATTTATTCTTTTATTTATTGTTGACAGGAACTTCTCCTCTGTCCCGACCACGTTTGTAACCTCTGCAACTTCAGCAGCCAGTGTCTCGATCTCGCTGTCAATAAAGTTTTTCTTATTTTTTCTGGGGAAAAAAAACCCCAGGGAATTCCCTCACGTGCCGAGGACGTTACTGTATGTAAATGACGGTGAACAGACACGAGCACCTGGGTACAGGTGGGATTTATCATCAGACGATTGTGTAGGAACACGTACGAGAGGCCGCCGCACGTTTTATAAATCAGGAGTACACACATCCTAAATTTTATTTGTAGGAAGGAATATAGGAACGTTCATACAAACATTTTGATAAATGAGGCCCCAGGATTCTTCAACGTCACAGAGAAATTCGCATTATTGGCCCTGCCCACCTTGGCTGGCGACCGCAGAAGCTAACTATTAGCATGTTCTACTCCACAGCATGGTGAAACATGTTCAGACTTGTGTTTTTAGTGGAGATAAATTATTGCATTTTTTAGCTAAGAAAGAAGAGCGAATGAAGGCAGCGGAAGAGTCACATTGCTGTTAGCCAATCAGATGTGATATCGGGCATATCATGAATAATAATGAAAAGACTCATAATCCTGTCGTTTTCTGCTAGATGAACAGATCTGTTGGCAGTTACAATGTCTCTGGCTGTAGGGAACGTCCTCTCTGGGGACAGAGGCAGTTTAGTTTTGGTTGCTAGGCAACATGACGTATGCCGAGGTAAGGGTGGAAATTAATCCAAAGACTAGATGGCCCAATTTCACAGCCGTTCACTTCTGGTCTTCTCGGCCAACGAAGGACCAGGTGTCTGGTACCAACCAGTTGAAGGATGCTGCTCCTGAATTTTGACACAGCCACACGTCTCACTTACACGTCTGCGTGGGAACTCGATGCACCTCTGTACCGCACCGAAAAACCCAAACACGAATACACAGATTACGCCCTTTTTGATTATGAAACTCTCACCCTTCTCCACTCCTCGCTCATAGCTGTCAAACAGAGTGTGCAGTCTAGCGCAGTTATACATCACAAACACGCCTCCCCTCGGCCCTTTGGTTGACACGCCCCCTTCCCTCTGGACATCCAGCGTCACCTAAACAGATGACGGCAACACGTAAACACCACTGCTCCAGCTGTGTGACACAATCAAACTAAAAACAGAGTTCAGGCGCAGACTCACCGGACTTGTGTGAACCGTTGATAGGAGCTCAAATCTGACAGTGGCAGAGGTCATCACCTTGATGATGTCATCCCACGTCTGACCTAGAAGGATGCAGGGACACCTCTCATGTCCTTCAGTTCATTAAGGAACAGAATCTTTTAGATGTGGACTTACCTTCTACTTTATCTCCATATTTCATCTCTGAAGCCTCCTTCATCTGGCCTTTCCTCAGCCTGTGAGACAGCAGAAGGGACATTAGTCAACCGCTGAACTTAGGTTTGACTTTTTTTGTTTTTACATTAAATTGGCGTCTTACTGCAGGTACTGCGCAGCTGTGAGGAGACATCCAGGCGTCTTCACAGGACCACAAACAAGATGTCTCTGCAGCCCCAGGAGCAACGAAAGGTTAAAATAAAAACACAATAGACTGCTGTGATGTGTGTGTGTGTGTGTGTGTGTGTGTGTGTGTGTGTGTGTGTGTGTGTGTGTGTGTGTGTGTGTGTGTGTGTGTGTGTGTGTGTGTGTGTGTGTGTGTGTGTGTGTGTTTACCTGAGTGTGTGTCGCTCCGCTGGCTCTCCACAACATTGCTATCTGCTGCTGGCGAAACTCATCCTGACAGGAGGTCACGTGTAAAGTTGTTGCCATGGCTACCTGAATAAAGGCCAGCAAAGGCGTTTTCAGTTAGCAAAAAAACAAAAAAATCATATTTTAAGAAAAATCGCTGTTTGTGTATTTTATGTGGGTGTTGGTCTCACTGTGCAGTCAGCTGTAGACAGATCCAGCTGTGCGAGGTGGGAAACGCTGTCCCTGTGGACTAGAAAAAAAATGTCCTTGCAACATTAAAACAGATGTTTCACAATTATTTATAAACCTGTGGAAAAGCAGAGTCGATTAAAACACAGGGTTTGCAAAACTTTATAACATAAAAAATAAACATTTTTAATTAAACTCTCCTGCTCATTATAGATTTCTGTAGCCACAGAACTGAACGGACACTCACCCGAAAATTCCACTACCTCCGCTCCGCTCCGGCACGAACTCCGCAGCAAAAACGGTCCCGTTGTAGTCAATCAGAGCTGTTCCACTACTGCGGCCGTGTGGCGCAGTGCGCCGCCCACCGTTCCGCCATCCGGCAAAAATAGGATGGATTCTATTTTTGCCGGACACCGGAGCACCTCCGCAGTCAATGGACAGAAATCACAACCGCCCAACAGGAAAGGGCGCAAGCACAGCTTCCGTTATTTCACAATAAATCGATAAACAAAAAGCGTTTTTTGTTTCATATGCACAGGTTTAACAAACTTTAACAACTATCAATGGCGGCTGAACTTTAAATGCACAAAAGTAAGCCATAAATACAGTTTCCACTATCTAAGTAGTCACACTTTGTTGATCCAAACACTGCTGATGTCTCAACACAAATGATGGGCAGATTAAACAGTTCATTTCGATGCTTCTCCCACACAACGGGTGTTTGGATCTAACTTCCGTGTTCATTGCTCGGACTGTATCGCAAGATCTCAAAAATCCCGCGCATGCCTGTTTGCGCACCTCAGGTCTCCGCACCGGAGCGGAGCCGTTGTAGAGCGGGTACCCGTAAAAATTGAGTTCGGAAGCGAGCGGATCGGAGCGGAGCGGAGGTTGTGGAATTTTGAGGTTAGAAACTGGAAACAATAAAACAAATGATGGAAAATGACAATTTTCTCAGAACTTTACAGATTTATTCCCATGTTTGTAGAAGGTTAGTGAAGTAAGCTGCACACTTAGAGATAAATACAACCTTAAGATGCACTTTAAAGGTGCATAAAGTAAGAATGACATCCTGTGGTCAAATATGGGTACTGCAGTCTGTGTTTCAAAACAAACGAGTGCACTTGGCCACTCCCCTTCCTGTTTTTCATGACGGCTGACAGCTACGATCAGCGCCAGAGTATTCTAGATGATGAGTGAAGACGAGTCACACAGTAAGTTGATAAGTAGATAAATACGTTTCAATGTACTATTGAGTTGTTTGTAACTTAAAAAGTAGCTTGAGATATATTAGAGTTGACTATTTGCTTCTTATTCAGTGTTAGCATTGTTAGCTCAACGTTAGTTCAAACTTTAGCCTCCTTTACCTGATATTAGAATAAGTGGCTTCTAACAAGAAATAACTTCTGGGTCGCTCCTGTTTACTGGCTAACGTTCTTTCAACAACTCTTCTGCCTTTGCTGATCAGTGTCAGATTACAAATGCTAGCGTAGTCCTTGTGCTAAAGACTTGGCAACCTTGTGGACTCACATGACTAGGTCTGGAACCAGGAAGTATGGAGTCAGGACACAAAATAAACAAAGACTACGTCCCACTTCAGTCGTTTTAAAAGGAGAAAAACTGACAATCCCCCAGCTAGCGGAGAAGGAAATCTGTTTCAGCGTTACTTTCCTTCCACCATGATTGAGACATTATAGTGATAATTTCACAGTAAATTTGTACTTATTGTACTTTTAAAGTCTGGAAAAAAAGGGCAGAAATAGAGAAAACATCAGGGTTTGTGGTTATTTCTTATGTAAATGTGCTCAACAGTCATAACTTCTGTTTCCATGGTTGTTCTTAGGTATGAAATTGTTATTTCTTTCATTTCTACGATCAGATTATTTAGCAGTTTTACTACAATGTGACTTTTGATGCCTTAAAACTAAATGGGAAAAATCTGGTAGATTATATTTATGGATTTTTCCATAAAAATAAATGTTTAACTTTAATTATCTTCTTGTAGATACTTTTATGGCCCCAATTTGACAAAATCAACATGCACTCAGTTGTCGGTGTTTACTTACATAAACATGACCTCACCTGTGCTGGTACCAAGGGTGGGGTCGTATCCCAGCAGCCCCTCCTCTTGGAAAACTCTTTTCAAGTTAATCCTTAACGCTCCCTCATTCTCCTCCTCTTCCACTTTCCTCCCTCCTCCGCTGGTCCTCCTGCCTCTCTCCGTTACCCTTTCTCTGTACGGCGAGTTCTCCAGCGCCTTGTGGATCTTCTCCTCCTGCTCCTCAGTGGTCCAGTTGGCCGGAGCTGTCGGCCAATCGATTCCAAGAGCTCGGAGGAAGCTGACCATACCGCTGTCTTCGGGAAGAACGGGGCAAAAGACAACTTCAAATCTAAGAAGGGAAAGAATTTTGACATAATCAGAATTATATTTAAATGATAAATTGATTAGATTATTTAAAGAAGAATAAAAGTGTCCACACCCCTGTCTGCTCATCACCGCCCCCATGTGGTCAGCTATCAGGACAGTTCTTAGCTGGCCCAGACTCAGTGTGTCGGGCGTGGGAGTGTCGGGTTTTGGGTGCAGGGCGGGACAGTTGATGACCACACAGCCTTCCCTCTGACTTGAGGGCTTCAGGTAGTCTGAGGCTCCAGCTGCCAGGACGGTCCTGAATGCTGCGACTCGATCCACCCGCAGCCTTAAGCCTTCACCCATCACCTCCCCACCGGCTACTGGGAGTACCCCAGTGCCACGAAGGGACAGCACTCTGGACATCACTGCTGGAGGGACCTGGTGATTTGACTTGAATTTATTAATATGAGTTAAGCAAAAAGGCTTTAATAAAACTAATCTGATATAAAATTCTGAGAAGGAAAATTAAAACTGTAGAATTTCTGACTTTAAAAATGCTTTGCTGAAAAACATTATGTTTTTAAAACAAAAAATATTTTGTGCTTTTAATAAAACATGAAATTAACACTCATTAAATACATTTTCCACATAAACAAGTACAGTTTGTGTGTATTCAGGATTTTTGGCACATCCTGTTGGCCCGGTTTGGACGTTTCTCGCATGGATTATTAGTTACAGCTGGGGGGGGGGGGGGGGGGGTAGTGTCAGATCAATCATTATGAAACAAAAACATCAAATCAATAAAGGGAATGTCTGTCTCTGCACTGCTTTTATATCAGTCCAAGGTTTCAAAGGTCCTTTAAATTACAATAAATGGTTGAAACTTTCACATTTTGTTTTTAAGGCTCAACTGACTTGGATTTATTTTAACAGAGGAATCAAATGTTGTTTGATGAATTTTCCCCTTTGGTGTAAATATTTTATAAGTGCTTTCTGTGGGAAAGTTGCAAACTATTAATGCCGACCGGACGCATGAGCTAAAATGGATTTTAGTTACCCTGGGCCTTTCAAGGCCTTTGTCTGTGTGTGTGTGTGTGTGTGTGCTGGGTGCACGGCTGCTTCTGCAGTTTTTCTGGAAACTGAAATTAACTAAAATGGATCTCTTCAGTTGGTCTCTCAACACGATTGATAACATTTTTTCAACAATGAGAACGGGAGAAGGGGCTCCCGGATGCCCCTCCGGGACAGACCAGCTGTCTGTGGAGGATTCTGAAGATGTGTGGATATTCGTGGTGTTGGTGTCGGGTTTCCTGCTGATCGACATTGGAGGCTACCTGGCTTACCGGAAAATTAACGAGCCGTCGAGGAATACTGGCCGGATCCCGGAGCTCAGAGATGGATTGCACCGCGGTGTGAATTCACAGACTCACATAAGTGTCGAGATGAATCGTAAGCTTGGAACTTTGGCTGAGTTTCATTAATTGGCACAAAGAAGGATGCCATCAAGGAGAGAGTGGACGAATCAGCACGGATTGGGATAGATTAATGTCCATTATTGGGATTTTGAGAGGTGAGGACCAACAAACTGTAAGACAGAGATGAAATTATCTCTGTCTGGCCCCAAAACAATTTCTAATCGGAATCTGGCGCCCTTGAGCCTGCAAGGCTACAACAAAAACTACCCGCTCGGAAGATATGTGGGATGTGGCATCGCTATGGCAACTCAATTCTGTCTCCTATCCCAGCCTGGGCGGGACTGCGGGAAGGCCGCTGAAACGTTCCAGGGTCGCTGCAACCCTCCAACCCTCAATGCCCCTCCCCCTATCCACACTGAGGTGACATGCGCTGCTTATCGTGGCTGCAGGAACTGAAGTGGGGATAGTCCCAACCCACCACCCCACCTAGTGGACACTTATGTTGTGATGTCTGAAGTCTGTTGCATTTCTGTCTGAGGTGTTTTTTTGCAGAGCAAAGCTGCCCTCCTTATGGAGGGTAGCTCTGAAGAGCCTTTTTTTCCCTCCACCTGAACCAATCCTCATGTAACCCTCTGATCTCTATTAAGGTGGCGCGACTCAGGGTTGCGAATGACCACAGTCACTAATTCTTGTCATGTGTCTTGGCCTTGTATGTCTGATCTCTGAATTGTGTGTTTTGAAACTCTAATTTCCCTCTGGGATTAATAAAGTATCTTTGATTGATTGATTAAAACAACTATAATCCCCCCCAAAATATAACGGTAGTTGATGTAAAGGCTTTTTTCTTACATAAATCTTGACTCGTTTTGCATAGTTCAGTTGAGAAATAGTAAACTTTGGCCAGAAGTTCATCTAATTTTCTCCTAAATTCTACAATTATTCTTAAATATTTGAAGAAAATACCAAACTATGGCAGTGTGTGAAGTAGGGACAGAACGACATATCGGCCAGCCAATGTGCACCATTTCTATATATCTGCATCAGTCGACGTATCTTCTTAGTTAAGCTGATTTAAAGTCAGGCACATCCCCAGGCAGCCTGGTGCTGCTGCAAAATTAAATAAATGAATATTTATATTCTGCATAATAAATGCTCCAAAATGATTTTCAACAAAAATGTCTTTTTTTTGTTTACAGTTTTGAATATTTAATACTTGTTCAGTTAATGGATTTGTTTTTTTACTTTATTTAGGTGTCTGACTTTTACACTGAGCAGTGCACAAAATTAACATTTAACGGTTAGTTAAATTCTGAGATGAAATTAACCAACTCCGCTTCAGAAATTGTACGCATCAACTGATGTTATTAGTGACATTTGAGCATGCAAAAAAGTGGAAAACATCTGGATATCGGCCATGATAACTGGCAAAAATATCGACTGTGCATATCAGCTGATCATGTCTCCTACACATCGGTATCAGCAATAAAAAAGCAAAAATCAGTTGACCTCTAGTGTGACGGTTTATGAAATGTTCTCATCATAAAATACAATAATAGTTTTGAGATAAGAGGGTTTTGTTTAATAGAAGCACAGAAATGCACTTGGGAACTAGCCACACTGTATCTAGCCGTTAGCATGTCAATCTGTTCGAAGTAATCTTCGTTTCTCTAAACTGAGGTCATTCAAAGAGGTTATGTGCTGATTATCCATTAAACAACATCTTAAAATGTCTAATCAGTGGTGAATAATTGGCACAAAGACCTGAAAGAGGCGTTAAGGCGTTCATTAACCTGACAGGTGTGTCTTGAACCAACCTGTCCGTCCGCGAACAGCGTGTTTAGCATCGTGATCGGCGACAAGAAGTCCCTGTTTCGAAGGTTTTTGGCACTGCTCTCTTTGAACCAAAGCTTCTCCGGGTCAGGGAAAACCCTGTCGCCGTTCCCTTCTCTGGAATCGTGGACATTTTCACGCTTCCCTCTGAGCGCGGAGCTCAGGGCTCGGACTGTCGGGGAGATCCGCAGCGGAGAGAGCTCCTCGATGTTCTCCATCACCGCAGCAGAGACGGTTGAGTTTGCTATCAGCTCATTCACTTTCTGTCCATTCCTCTCCGGGGTCGTTGCTTCCTTTGAAGTACGTTCTGGCTGGGCGGCTAATTACTGGTCGATGTCAGATATTGACGTAAATGTGAGCTGCATTAGTTGTTTACTCTAAGCGGAACTAAAATGCGAATGTAGTTTCCGCCGAGATGTTTTTTGAATGGAACCAGTAGGGAGCCCTCTAGCGTGTAGCAGAGGAACTACAACCTTATGTGGACATTTTCAAGAGCATCTGGCTGCAGACATCAGCCAAGAGCATCTGGCTGCAGACATCAGCTGGCGTCTTTGCCGTGACAGGAAATGACGTATCCGGAAAAAAGTGTCATTACCTTCGCCGGAAGTCATTGCCTTTGCCGGAAGTAGTTTTTTTTTCTTGAATACGCTTTATTGACAAAGCACAAAAGTAGTTTGAATTTGTCAAAACCATACCGTGTCGTTTTTCTCTTCGATTTGTACATATTTAAGAGAAAAATTACACGGTGGGTCATTACCTTAACCAGAAGTCATTACTTTCACTGGAAGTAGTTTTTTAAAAAACAAAACTTACCGTAAAAAGCTTTTTATTTCGGATTTTTTTTTTCTCTTCAGATCTGGACTGGCAAACTTAAGTAACGTTGTAACCTGCGTTGCATGAAAATTGAATATTAAATCCCTTTGTTCTTCAGACAGGGAATTTTTATGACAATAGCACATACATACATACATACACACACACATATATATATATATATATGTATATATACACACACACACATATGTATATATACACACACAATAAAAGGCTGTAAAGTGAATTAAAAAAACATATGGAAAAAATGAGAACACATTAAACTAAGACTTTTCAAAATGTGCAAACAAAATAGTACTGGCTAAATATTCAGTTTTATTGTTAAGCGTAAGATGAACTTTTGACCTACACCAATTGCTAAAGTACAGAACTCCCAGAAGCAGTGAAAAACATTTCAGCAACACTCCTCTCTCACCAGCAACAAAAATTAGTTATTAAATATCCATAACACTGTCCTATTGTGTATCACAGCAGCTCATTGCAACAGAATTTAACTACTACAGCTGATAACTATTTAGCTAGTTGGTATTTATTTTGAGTGAAAGACAATAAAACCAAAGAAACACTTAATTTCACAACCATTTTATTTTGGGTACAAATGAATTTGCTGAAGCATGGCTTTCTCAGCTGCATATCGATTCATCCCCTCCCATTTTTCCAACACTTTTATTGTTACCTGAAAAACATGCAGGATTACTTCATCGTTGTCATCTTCCTCTGCTTATCCGGGTCCGGGTCGCGGGGGCAGCATCCCAACTAGGGAGCTCCAGACCGTCCTCTCCCCGGCCTTGTCCACCAGCTCCTCCGGCAGGACCCCAAGGCGTTCCCGGACCAGATTGGAGATGTAACCTCTCCAACGTGTCCTGGGTCGACCCGGGGGCCTTCTGCCGGCAGGACATGCCCGAAACACCTCCCCGGGGAGGCGTCCAGGAGGCATCCTGACCAGATGCCCAAACCACCTCAACTAGCTCCTTTCGATCCAGAGAAGCAGCGGTTCTACTCCGAGTCCCTCCCGGATGTCCGAGCTCCTCACCCTATCTCTAAGACTGAGCCCGGCCACCCTACGGAGGAAACTCATTTTAGCCGCTTGTATCCGCGATCTCGTTCTTTCGGTCATTACCCAAAGCTCATGACCATAGGTGAGGATTGGGACGTAGATCGACCGGTAAATCGAGAGCCTGGCTTTCTGGCTCAGCTCCCTCTTCACCACGACAGATCGGCGTCCGCATCACTGCAGACGCCGAACCAATCCACCTGTCGATCTCCCGATCCCTCCTACCCTCACTCGTGAACAAGACCCTGAGATACTTAAACTTCTCCACTTGAGGTAGGACCTCTCCCCCGACCCGGAGTTGGCAAGCCACCCTTTTCCGGTCGAGAACCATGGATTTGGAGGTGCTGACCCTCATCCCAGCTGCTTCACACTCGGCCGCGAACCTATCCAGCAAGAGCTGAAGGTCAGAGCTGGGTGAAGCTAGGAGGACCACATCATCCGCAAAAAGCAGAGACGAGATTCTCCTGCCACCAAACTCTGTTAAGGATTACTTCATACACTGTCAAATGTCGAAAAGTAACTTTTATACCAACAACTGCTGAAGACTGCGTTGTACCTCTGGAACAAGGACATCAAACACCAAGTCCAGAAACTGGAACTCTCTCTTCTTTATTAGTTTATCTATTCCTGAGCATGAACCAATCCGCTCTGTCAGCTCGTCAACGTATAAAACACATTAACATAATAATGAACAAAACGTTCCTCTCAGCATTAGACAACGGACCCAGGTGGCCCACTGACCATGCATCCACATAAATAAATGTGATGCAGCTTATTGTAAGTCAGTATACATTTACCTGTGCATCAGCAAAGTGGAACATCAGTGGCTTTAGTCTTTGCTTTAATTTAAGCGAGACACCTGGATTGTGCCAGATACATGAGGCCAGACTTCACTCTACCGCTGCAGAGATCCTTATACAGAGTCTGAGTAGAGACAAGAGTTAAAAATAAGCAACATTACCACAGAAAACAAGGGATTACATTATCCTATGTCCAATTTTAGAGTCTTAATTTATTATAATTAAACATTACCTTGATTTCCCCATCTGAAATCACTGCCTGGGTTCCATTTTTCAAAGCCTCGATTGTCCTGTAATTTAGATAAAAATACATCTTATTAGCAAATGAAGAATACAAGCACATGTAAGGAGTTTTGTCAGTGTCACTTGAAGAAGTCCGATATTCATTTTAGATCTATATTTAAGGCCTGTAACTCCTGAATGATTTGCAGCTAAATGTGCTTAAATCCGGTAATATTAATATAAACCAAACCCGATGAAAGCAGTCAGTCGACAAAAATATCTATTTTTTATAAGGATAGGATTATTCTGAAACAGAATCAGAAGGAGGGCGGCATTAATTAGAGAAGCGGCTACTATTTCAAAGTTATTGTACCTGTTGCAGGACACCTGATTTGTGCAACCACAGTAGAATGACCCAGCACACCACACACAATAACTGAAAAATATTTAGAGATATTGAAAGCTAAGCTTGTCCAGAAAATACATTTTATTTCTGGGTGCACAGGACCAGTTCCAGTGTGGGCCAGATGCTGAAAAATAAATTGATAAATCTGTCTTTTTTGAAGTTTCACAAACCAGAGGAAGGTTTCACAAATCACAAACTATGTTTTATGCATTCCTACAAGCCCAGAATAATCTAAAATAGGTTTGAAGAGTGTATGTATTGTAGGTTTTGAGCTAGAGCAGAATAAAAATGGTCAGAGTAGAGAAAAATTGGGTGTATTAGCCCTTTAGCCATTTCCCGAATCGGAAGCTAACTTTAGCCTCGTATGAAAACTAGTGATTGAAACCACTTACAAATCTCTGAAAATCTACGCTTTTTAATTAAAAAAGGGCATTAATAACGTTTCAGTCAAGTCAGTATTAGAAATCGTGGTCTTTATATCATATCTAAATTATATATAAAGTTAATATTATTACTTTAACTGTTTTAACAAACAGGGAGACCAGAAAAATCAAATAGCTAAGTTAAAGCTAAGCTACAATTGCTGATAGCTTTATTTATGTATCTTTTGTGTTAGCTAGCTTGTGATCTCCCTGCATTCGTTTTAAGACTGCGTGTTAATATTGATACAATTAGCTAAGAAACACGGTGCCTTTGCAGTAATTCTCTGGTAAAGCTTTAAAAGCTACAGTGCCTACATTTAAGAACTAAGAACGATTGCAACAATTAGTTAATTTCATCCTTATCCTTCTTTCTTTATCTACCATCCTTACCCTTACCTTTCCTCAACTGAAACCCGCCGAGTATGGTTGAAACAAAAACAACGTAGCGGCCGCCAAAAAAAGACCAACTTCCTGCCGAGGTCTTTCGCTCGTCGATTTTCCGGTAAAAGTAATGACACGCCATCTTGTTCTCGACACACCAGCTGATGTCTGCAGCCAGGTCCTACTCGACATTTTTGCTATATTTACGCTACTCCCGTAGCCATATTTATTATTACATGATGGAATGGAGTAGTTAGTTTAGAATAACATAAGAGTTACGTTCAATCAATGAAATAATCAATAAGCAGCCACAAGTCAGAAGTTATTACTATCACTACAGTTGCTGTGGCAAAACCATTTAGCTGTAATCTCAGTTTGCTATGTACAAACCTAAGTGTTAATTAATTATGAGCAGAACAAAATAGTTATGTACATGTACTCAAATTATTTGTTTATTTTCACTGCAGGGCAGTTATAGTATTCCCATGACTTTCAAATTAGTATGCTCACAGCATACAAAGTGCCAATTCTTATACAAAATGAATTTATCTAATATTATATTCAGGGATAAATACTATCCATATTTATGTTGGACAATCTTAATATAAATGAATTATCAGTTGGAAGATTTCTAAAGCTTTATTGTGAACAAGAGTTCTACCATCATTTGTTATTTTAAAATATATTCATTAAATATTATTTATCTTGAATTTTTCCATTTAAACCATATAATTATAATATATTGCATATAATTAAAATATTTCATTTATCTGATTAAATAAGTTTATTGAATCAGCTGTTGTGCTCTAACATGTACTCAGTTTTTGAGTAGCATTTTAGCCAAATAGGGTTTTTTTTTTGTATTTGAACTGTATTTTATTTATTTTAATAGTTTATACATTTATTGTGGAATCCAAATACATTAATGCTTTTCCCTTTTAACACAATTTTTGATTTTAAACTATAAACGAATCTACTCGTAAAATATTGTAACTAAATATATTTAGTTTATTTAGTTTACATTAATGAATACCTCCCTACCATGGGTTTAGTTCGCATTTTTGCCACCAGAGGGCGTATAATCTGATATGTTTGTAGC